TGTTTCTCGCTGCCGCAGCAGTCAACCACAAGGAGCAGGTGAGATGAGAACTCACTGAGCCAAGCAGGGGGAGAGCGTTAAGGCTGTGGGCAGCAGTCCTTACTTCTCAAGTCCAGAAGCCCCAGAGCTCACCGCAATGGAGAGCAGGGTAAAAGATTTGAATTTAGGCCTCAGTATTTATCCTCCCACAAGTGTAGAAGAAGCAAGGGGTAACACGACTGTCCCAGACTAGACTGAGTAGGAAAACTGGGCGATACCACTAATGGAGGGGGTTATATAGTGGTTAATTAATTAGTAATCAGACTCAGTCCAATCAGAGCACGGACAGTGTGAACCCATGCATAGATGCTATCTCCACCCTTATTGAGAATAACGAAGCTCAAGGAGCACAAAGGACTCTTAGTTTCAAACTACAAATATTCTCCTTTATTGGTAGCTTTTTAAGCCTTAAAATTTCCTATGGATTAAAAAAAAAGATTGGTTCACTTTATGATGTCATCCTTTTAGTGGCCGCTTTCTCTGTAGCCCTTAGCATGCATAATACATACAAAAAGAATTGTACAAGTGTTCTTTGATGGGAAGTTATTCCTGGCTCAGAATAATACTATGGTCAAGATTATCCAAAGCCACCAAGAGATCAAGGAGCACAAAAATGGATGCCCCAATGCCTTCCAGGCTCAGCCGCAGTTCCCTCAGGAATTTGGGTTGAGAATTTGAATCAGCCGATGGCGAATTTGTTTCGTTTATGGTTTGAAAATGGAAGAGTTTAGATGCTGATGTGGGTTATTTTGCATGCTATGGTTTTTTGCTTTTAATCTTGTGTGTGTTGTCCAGAGCTGTGTGGCTATAAAAATGGTCTAAATAGAAAGAAAAGAAATAGTACGTATTGTTCATTGTTCTATGCAAAACATTATTCCACAGCTTGAAACAGGAAATAATGGATGAAAGTAGAGTACAAGCCGTACTGTATACTCAATTTTCAGGAGTGTCCTGAAGGAAGATCAGAATGAGAATGAGGTATGCAACCTAACTTGTAAGGGCGG